AAAAAAAAAAAATGGAAAACAACTTGGTGCCCGTAGCTCAATGGGTAGGGTGCTGACCACTTACACGGAGGCTGGTGGTTTCGAACCCGGCCTAGGCCAGCTAAAACAACAATGACAACTGCAACAAAAAAATAGCTGGGCATTGTGGTGGGCTCCTGTAATCCCAGCTACTTGAGAGGCTGAGGCAAGAGAATTGCTTAAGCCCAAGAGTTGGAGGTTGCTGTGAGCTGTGACAGGACAGCACTCTACTGAGGGTAACATAGTAAAACTCTGCCCCCCTCCCAAAAGGAAAAAACTAGCCAGGCATTGTGGGCAGCTGTAGTCCCAACCACTCCAGAGGCTGAGGCAAGAGGGTTGCTTGTGCCCAAGAGCCTGAGGATGCTCTGAGCTATGACATCACAGCACTCAACCCCAGGGCAACTGAGTGAGATACTGTCTCAAAAAAAAAAAAAGAAAAAAAGAGACTTCAGGGACTCTTTCTTGAAACGTCATCACAGAATTCCAAGCCTCCCTTTGCAGTCCTATGTCCCTTCCCACCCGTACACTCCGGTCTCATCCTGTTCCACCAGGTTCGCTGCCTTTGGGTGTTTCCCCCTTGGTCATTCCCTGCTGTGTACTGTGTCTGCCTTTCAGATACCCAGTTATCTGAGTCCTTGACATCCATTAAGGCATAGTATAACTGACATCTCCTCCTTAAGCCTTCCTACATTTCCTGAGTTGAAGCTAATCTCTTCTACCTCATGTTCTCAAGGCACTTGTCAATGTCTTCTGTGTAGTATTATGGATTGGACTTCCCTGAGTCCACCATAGGCTGGTAGAGGACTGGAGCTACATTTTCTTCATCTGGTACAAAATAATTTTACTGAATAAACATAGAGAATTTCTGGGCCTTAACCAATGCTTGGGTGAAGGTTCTAGCTGGTGGCTGGGTTACTGCCCCTCCAGGAGAGGCACTTGGGCCTGCCACCGTGACTTGACACTGGTTCCTCCCCTCCCTCCTTAGAGCAGTCCTGATGCAGTCAAGACCAGTAGGACATATCCTTACTCTAGAGCTCATCTCCTTTCCTAATGGGACTCAGCGGGTGTTGTGTTCTAACTGGAGGAAGGCTCTGGGGTCTCAGGGGACTCTAAATACACCAGGTGACATGATCATTTGTTTCCAGCATAGTCATTAGGGAACTGATGAGGACATCTGAGCCCTGGATGGGGGCTGGTCTGAGGCCTGGGAGGGTTCCTTGGAGGGTGAAAGGAAGGGGGTTTTCTAGAACTGGTGGGTGAAGGAAAGGGGGTTACTGATTCAGAAGGACGGTATTTCAAAGGTTATTTCTAATAGCTTCCTGCTGCCTGCATCCCCAGCCTAACCAGGTAACCTGAGCCTGGCCCACCACCCTAGACCATCCAGGAGCCAAGGAGCCCCCACTTCTAGGGGCAGAAGCATCCTCAAGAAATTTACTCAGAGTCCTGGGTCCCAACCCTGTCACATGACTATTTAGGGCCAGGTCTGATAAGCAGAAAAACTAGTTGTCTTGAGGTTTCTATGTGAACATTCCAGAGAAAGTCGTGGGGGGAGGGGACAGGTCATTCCTATCTGAGAAGGACTCTGGTGATGGCCCCAGCTTCTTGGAAATAGGCCAGTAGACTTTCTGTTGGTTGGGCAGGGTCCTCCTCTAGGGGAGGAGTGTCAAGCCACCTCAAGGGAGGATTTCTGGAGCCCTTGACATGCTAAAGTGAAGGTGGGAGGAGAACTGGTGGCTCCTGTGCAAAGGAGGTGGAGTCTACACTTCCACATCCATGTTCCTGAAGTCCCAGCCTTCCTGGGAAAAGTGGGAGGGCATCATCCTTATTTTACTGATGAGGAAGATGAAGTAACCCTGCTACAAGTCACTCAGCCAGTGCATGGCCCAGCCTGGGTTCCTGCCAGGATTCCTTTCTTTGCTGACTCCTAGTGCAGAGTTCCCAGTATTTTGTCAACGCCCTTTAGGAAGGAGACAGACAGCCTAAGGGGCACAGATTGTGGTGGCAGGGGCATACACTCTGATAGCCATGGCATAGAATGGGTTAAGGTGGGGAGGTGGTGGGTGTCTCCTGGCCGCAC